TATATTTTTTTAAAAACTGTGCTTTGGGGAATATGCTCCCTGTTCATGTCATTATTGTACTGTGTGTTCCAGTTTGTTCATTTATTTATTTTTTTTTTTAACTATTGTCTCAGCTGTGTTTCTGTGTCTCCTACCTTTAGGCCATTTCAACCTGTTCATTTCTAAAAGCCAGAGAGAATGAGAGAGAAAGAATCTAAACAAGTTAATAGAATTTCATATGTGCTATGACATTGAAAGAGTCTGGGCTTAATAGAAGCTTTAACACGTTTCATTTTAGTATATTTTTTCTCTCTAGATTCAAATCAGGTTAACCTCTACCCACATTTTGTTACATTTTATAGTTATTATATGTAAAATATGGCACTTTGGAAAATCTGATCTTTTATTATTAATGCTTGCTTCCTGACTTTTTAAGACAAAAAGACCCCAGTTATACATGAAGTTTATAAAAGTCAATATTCAAAAATTAATTGCATAGGTAACTTTTTCGACATGATCTATGCACAAAGTATAACAAAGGCACCGATTTTTTTTCAGAGATTTGACCTGTGGTTCACATTTAAAAGTCAGACATTCATTTTATGGAGTTGCCCATCAAATTAAATTTTATTTGGTCCGTCAACATTTTATAGCGTTAAATTGTTACTGTTTGAAATCCATGTGTCATTAAAACATAAAACTTGATCTCTGGCAAGAAATCTAACCATGAACGGTTAGATTGACTTGTGTCATTTTTAATTTCAGGACTCCCAGAAAAGTGTGAATTGTTAAACTGTACAGGATTGGGATTTTTTTTTTTTTCAGAGGAAAGCAATAGTACATTTTTCTAATAGTTTAGAGACTGTACTTTCTGCACTTTTTTTTTCCCTCCCTGTGGGAGAGGGAAAAAAATTATTGGCTTTCGAACTCTACCAAGTAGCTTTTTATCTTGGTAATTTGCTAAGCCTGTTGGGTAGAGGTAAACAGACCCTACTTTGAGGAGCTTACCTGAGGAGCTTACCTTATCTGGGTCTGACTTACTACTTTCCATGGTTCCAATGGGCACTCAGTAAAAATAGTAATCATTCTGTGTCATGACATCTCTGACATCAGTCTTTTTTTATTTACAATTTGTATGCTGATTTTTCAAAGATGATTAAAAGTATCATTTTTATAGTAAGTTTATGATACTTTCAAATAAAGTCGGGGAGTAAAAAAAATTTTTTTAATGTAAAAAAAGGGGCAGAGAAAATACCACCTCACCAGGGACCAGGGATAAGGCAGTTGTAACAACTGAACATTACATTTAGCTCTGACACTCATATCCTATTATACTGTTATTTAGTCTCTCTGTTGTTTCAGAGTTTTGTATATTCGCACCATTTCTTTCCCAGCTACATTTAAACCCCAGGAAGGAGAGAACCTGTCTCTTGCTTTTTTGTTGTCTTCCATATCCCATCAGAGTGCCTTTCTTGAACGCAATCCTCCAGAAATGTTTTTGTTGATTCTGACAACGTATGAATATTCCATGCATTTTCATAAATTTATAAAATCTTTTACATAATTGAGGGACGACATACTTGCTTCCTTAAATATCCATTTAATCTATATTTTCTGGCTACACTACTTAGCTCTCAATATGAATTCTAGTAATGACTGCTAGATCTAGGAAACAATGCTCAGAACTTCTGAGGCATCAACATGTCAGACTCCTGGCTCATCTCTGGGGCTGTTATTCTCCTTGTAGGTTCATTCTGTAAAACGTTTTGTTACAGCTGTGATTTTGCTCTATATGCCACAGAGCTGAGTTTCCAAGCTTTTTGTGGAGAATCTGTTCTAATTTTCTCATGAATTTATTATTTAATATCCTGACACTATCACTTTATGTCTATTCATCCAGAGATGTTACTTTCCTTAACTTTTTATAGGTGAGGAACAGCTTTAAGAATGCAAACATTTCTTTTTCTTTTTTTCTTCCTAAACTTGTTGGCAAAGCATGCGCTCCTTTTCACGTTTTTTTGTTTTTTTTTTTTTAATAGAATGTTGCATCCATCAAGAACACTTACAAATTTCCCTAACTGGAAACAGGTCAAACTGAAATTGGGCCTTCTACCAATAGACTAAAAGATCTAGAATTCACCAAAAGCATACATACAACAGTATGTTTCATGGGCTAAAAAACTAGTTATCACAGGACGGCCATGACCTCAGGGATCAATCCTGAAGGCACATGAAAAAGTCGAGGAAAGAGTAGAGAACATCAGCACTGGTTTAACAGGACAGCCCAACTGTACTTCAGTTCCAGGAATGTTATGTGCTCCTGTTTTTACTTCATTAGCAATTCAACATGCCTGATTTGCCCACACAATACTTCCAACTTAGTTTACCCATTTGACCTGGAACAAAGTGAAAGCACATTTTGCGCAGTTGAAAGTTCTTCTGGCAAGTTGGTTAGCAACAGGCTTGTCAGTCCCGGTTCAGTTAGCAAAGAATAAACACATTTCATTTGACAATTACTGGTGTACTGACTTCCTCACTGTGCAATTTTCTATTTCACATTCTTGAGCCTTTTTTTTTTTTACTTGCTATTCAACTTTGTACTAGTAATCCCTGCCTCAACAAGATTTCCAATTTTTTGAGAATAAAAGTTTCCACATTTCTTCGTGGCCGTGATTAACCCAATTTAATTGCAAAGAGGAGGGATCGAATGGAAGTTCATTCGGACGGAGGGAACAGCGATACTGCAGTCTCAACATCATCCCCCTCGGTAATTGAACGTTGTGGCTTGATACGTACCAATTAAGGAATCCGGCTACGGCTTCCACAACTATCAATTTTACTGTAGTTCTCTAACATTTGGTCACTTGGGAGTGTGTACTTGTAACAGTGCGAGTCCACAGGGGACGCGAGGGTGCTGCGAGAAACGCAGGCGCGCCGCCCGAAACCAGGCGACGTCGGAGAGCGACGCCCAGAGCCGGCCTTTCCGAGCCGGCCGGGCCGCGGCTCCCCGACGTGCACCTGGGGACGCGGGCGCGGCAGGACGGAGCCCGGGCACTGCTCGGTCCTACTCCCTGCGCTCGGGCGGGCGACGACTGCGCGGCGTCGCTCGCGGCCCGGGGAACAGAGGGGGCCGCCTCAGGCCGGTTCCAGTCCTCCGTGTCCCCACGCGCCCTGCCTCCCGAGGGTACCTGCGTAACTCGGCGCACACCAGCCCCACTACGTTTTAAAAGTGTATTTCTGGTGGTCACGGTGCACACCGAAAAGCTCGCTCCGCACCCCCAGGGCGCGCGAGGCCTCGGAGCCCGGAGAAAGGCCCCTCCCAGCGCAGCTGTCGCCGCCGCCTGCGGGCTCCTTTCACTTTCTCACGGCCAAGTCACCCAGAGGGGCGCCGCTGCCGCCACCGCCGCTGCGCCCGAGGACTCCGCCCCGCGCCGCTTCGCTACCGGCCCCCCGCCCCCCCGGACCCCGCCCACCCCGGTAGTTTCTGCTCGCGATTGGCTCGCGCGAGCGGCAGCTCCGGATCGCCTCTCCCATTGGCTGCACCTTCCCGTCAGTCCAACGATTGCCCGCCACTCCCTCCGCCCTCTTGCAAAGCCGTCCTGCCATTGGAGGAGACTGCGCGCTGGGGGCGGGCGGGGAGCGCCGGTCCAGCCGCTTACGGTCAATCGCAGAGGCCCAACGCCGGGAGGGAGGGAGGCAGGGGGAGGAGAGGGGCGGACCGAGGCTGGGCAAGGGGGGGAACATCTGGCCGGCGCCGCCGCGTGCGTGCGTGGTGCGTCCTCCCGCCCCCTCCCCTCCCCCTCCCCCGCCCGCCCCCCCGTCCCCCCACCCCCCCCTCCCCGGCCGGCGGCTCCGCGCTCGCTCCCTCGCTCGCTCCCTCGCTGTGTCTGGCAGGCTGCGGCCGCCGCTGGGCTGCTGCCATGGGGAGCCGTTGAGAGTGGGGCCCTCTTCGCTCCGCCGCGCTCCTCCGGCTGCCAGCGGGGGTGGGTGGGAGGGAGGGAGGGGGCAGGGGGGAGCGGGCGACGGAGCCGGGATTGGGGGGCGGGGGGGCCGGGAGGGAGGGGGGCAAGAGGAGGAGGAAGCCCACCAAGTCCGGCGGCGGCGGCGGCGGCGGCGGCGGCGGCGGCCGGGAGGAGGAGGAGGAGGAGGCGGAGGACGCGGCGGCGGCGGCGGCGGCGGGGACGCGGTGACTTAGGGCCGCTCCGTGTGAGTCTCGGCCCCGGCCCCTGACCCGGCGTCCCCTCCGCGCCCGGCCCCCCTGACGGGCGGGGGGCGCCAGCTGTGCGGCCCTGGCCGGCGGGCCAGGACGGGCGGAGGGCGGGCCGGGCCGGGGGCGCCCCCGCGAGTGGAGTTAGTTTGTGTGCTTGGAGCGGTTGGGGCGGCGGGGGGCGGCGCAGCTGCGGGAGGCCGGGCGCGGGGACGGGGCCGCCGCAGCTGCGGGGTCGGGCGGGGTGCGGGCTCGCCGGCTCCGCGCCGCGCCCCCCCAACCCTCTTCCCCCCGCCTCCCCCCGCGGCCGGTGCAGCTGCGGCGCGGGGCGGGCTCCCGGCCGGTGCAGCTGCGGCGGCGCCTCCCGGGTGCGGAGGGCGGCGGGCTGGGGGAGGGGGCTTGGGAGCCGCCGCAGCTGCAGCGGCGCCCGGGACGGCCGCGGCTCCGGGGACCGGTGCAGCTGCAGTGGCGCCCGGGGTGGGGGGGGGAGGGGGCCGGCGGGGGGAGGGGCCCCTCCCGGGCTGGTGCAGTTGCCGGGAGGCCCCGGGGGCTCGTGCGCCGCGGCGTTGGGTAGGCGGTAGCAGCCACCCTCCTCCCGCGGGCTTCTTCTTACGACTTTTCTTTTGTTGTTGCCGTGACCCGAGTCTGTTTTCTCGTCTGCTGTTTAAGGTGTTTTCCTGCTGCACCGGCTCTCCGCCCTCCACCTCCTTCCCTGTGGTTTAACCTTCCTCTTTCCCCGTGTGTTTTATGCACGGTGAACTAGGTGGAGATTTGCATTTCTTCTCTTCCCTCCCCCCCCACTCCGCACCCTCGCCCCCACCCCTTGGAAAAAATAAAAACCCAATCTCGCAAACCCTCTCTGGACCCCGCGGTAGCAAGACTGTGAAGGGGTTGATTTGTGGGGTGGGAGTCGCTGGCCCATTGCGGTGCTTGGGAATCATTAAACTGTCACTCACCCCCCACCCCACTGGGTAAATGGGGTGATTAATGTCTGATATATTGGAATGGGGCGAGGGCATTTGTGGAGAATAGGTTGTGTGGCTGAGAAGGAATGTAGCTCCGAAGAGTGCCTCCTAGAATAGGCGTTCGTTATTATGTCATTCACCGCGAAGTTAGAGAAAGTTAGGTTTGTGACTGGCAAAGCGAGGACAGGACAGAGACGTTGGTTTTTGTTACTCTTTAACTCTGCCGCGGTTTCCTGATGAGGACGGAGTGGTGATCACCAGGGCTGCAACACTCGCGCCTCAGGCCTTTTCTACGCCTCACCCTCCCCAGAGTCTGTGGAGATGTATTTGACATTCACAGATGTCGCAGCACCTTGCAGGGCACTGGTCAGCCCAGCCCGGGTTACTGGACGATTTCATCAGCCATTAGGAAAGATCCACAAAGTCGAGCTAAAAAGTTCTCAAACTTACCAGACATGCCCCCCCCCCTTACTGAAAGCCGAAAGGTTTTCCTGTGATCATCAAACATTACAGAGTGACCCAAAAAGATTGTTATGGGACACAGATCAAGGGGAAGACAGAGTTCTGCTTTTTCTGAGCGGAGAGTCAGATCAGATATGCAGGTGCAGCGTTCATTGTAAGTGGCTGTAGCAGGTTGTATCAGTTTATTAATTCGTCTCATTGAACTGAAGTACTTTCCAGGATTTCAGAAAGTGCAGTTTCACCTTGTTGATACTGAGAGTTGAAATTTGCATTAACTGGCAATGTGAGAAATTTTATTGAGAAGGTAGTAGGAGATGAGCAGTTAAGACAAGAGCAAAATCATAAGGTGAATTGGGCTGGAGTAATAGTTCTGCTTCGTCTTCCAGCATTCTGAGACACGTATGCCATTATCTCGGCAGGAAAAAAAAATGAAAGTACCATGAGAATGTTGAAATGGGCCTGGAGATGTCAATTGGGTTGGTTTAAAAATATCCCTAAGCTGCCTTTGAAACTGAACGCTGGAGTTGAATAAAAGTGAATGTGGATTTCCTGAATAGCGCCGTGGCTTGAGTGTGCTGTCAGTGTGTAAGCCAGTCCACCAACTTGAGACAGAAGTGTTGCTATTCCATAAATACAGTAGAACTCCATATGCTGAGTTTTTCCATTTCTTTCTGTTAGAAAGTTTGGAAAAAAAGGGAGACTTTGAAGTATTTTGTTTATACTAACAGAAGAGAAAAGTTCTCCTAAGAAAGAGCTGGTGGCAGGAGTGTAGAGGAGTAGCATATGGCATTAAAGGGAGCACAGCTGGAGGTAGCATTTCCATCTGAACATGATGTCAGAGCAGCTGACAGCCTGCCATCCCTCAGCCTTTTATTCTAACACACAGACAGGGAGTTAGTGTGTGCGGATCTGTGCTGGAGAAGGTATCTTATTCCTCTCTAACATCATCTCCACTTTGCATCTGTCTCTCTTAGTCTGCTTTTTTTCCACCGATGTAACAGACCTGGAGCCAGCGAGACTCAGAGGAAAGGACTTAATCAGGTTTATGTGTCCTAAAGGTAGGAGTAGCAAGAGATTAGATTGAGCCTATTTCTGTTGTGGTGTTTTGTTTATTTAATTAAAAAAAATCACATTACTTTTCTAACCCAGTTTAGGAATAATATATGAAACTGAGTATGAAATGAACATCTTATTGGAGTTGAAAGTCTTGAGCTTGTTTAGTTTTAATTTTTATCCCTTTTGCTCAGGCAAGTAAATAACTTTAATACACAGAAATATTTCAAGTTTTGAAATGTTAAGAAAGGCTTTGAAATGTTGCTTTTTGAGATCACTTTGGATTAAAATGCTTCTTGTGGTTGTTCACTGCTATTTAGATTCCTTTTGCTTTTGGGGTGGAGGGGGGAGAGAAACAGTAAACTGTCTGGAACCCAGCATTCAAACTTATATGAGAAGATTATTCTGGTTAAGAAGCTAGATTGTTGTGTAATTAATTCCACTGTGAAACTTTATTCTTCAAAACAGCAGCAGCACTGCTGAAACATACAGCTGTCGTGCTTTTGAAACCGAAGGTTTTTTAAAATGGGGGAAAAAAAAACACTTTTGTCCCCAGGAGAATAGTTTGACTGGTTTCCTCATTTCTCTTTCAAATATATATTTAAGAGAGCTTTTATTTCAGCATAACAATAATTATTTGCAGGAGTTTTTGTGTTAGCGACTAATTTAGAACTTGTAGATTTGAGCTGCCTGAATTGGCCAGACAGCTGTAATCGCACTCCTCTGTTCTTAATCTCTTTATCTGGGCAGCAGCTGCCATATGGCCACAGTCCGCTGGATCAGATGTTTATAAGCTTCCTTCTCCGTCCCTCTCTGTCCTCTCAGCCTCCTAATTTGATCACGGCTACCTTGTGAGCTGCCCTCCAATCTTTATTTTTAGCCCTCTCAAGGATTAGGATTGATGTTAGCTGTGGGGCACTTAAAGTGATTGTATTGTAAATCTTGGTTTATTCTAGCGGTGGCATCGTGCGGAAGGTATTTTGGGGCTAGGATGAAAGTTTTAGTCCATCTTGGGCAAAGTGGGGAAAAAGGGAGGTAATTTCTGGAATATTAAATCGCTATGTGTCCGTTCCCCAGTGCACTCTCTGAGCTGCTTGGTGTGGAACCTTGCTTCTGGTCACAGGAAAGGGGAAGTGGGGTTTTCTTGATTTTTTTTTTTTTTTTAAGGAGTTGAATTTTGCAGTTGAATTTTGACCCTTTGTACATCTTCGCCTTTCCTCTCCGTCCCTCTCACCCTCCTTCACCAGAAAACAAGGGCAGCGATGCATATTTGAAAGAATAGAAGCTAGTGGGAAAACAAAATATATCAAGTTTTATTGAAACAAAGTATTTTCTGTTGCATGAGGTAAGGCAGAGTCAGAAAAAAAAAATAGTTTCTCTTTTTCTAGCAAGGCTTTGGGTGGGGGGGGGCGGATGTTGAACCTGTAAAGCTTTTGAATACGATATGCCTTCGTTTAAAAGTTTGAAATAATTTTGGTATGGAATTCATTTGCTTTTCAACGGATCAAAGTTTAGATGAGAATTTTCAGAGTTAAGTGAAGCCCTTCTGGTTCTTGATTTTCTGGATGTACAGATTTTACAAAGAAATATTAGTTTTTTTCTCAATTCATTTAAAAAATATTTGGATTTGTTCATAGTAAAGATGATCTTTTCCATCTGTTGGTGTAGTTCTTTCTGATCTCGTACATGTGTGCCATACCTGCAAATCCTAAGGCATTAACATCTGTTTTTATACACAGGGCTTTTGTTGTTGTAACACTCTGACTTTAAAAGTGAGTTGTTTGCTAATTTCTGGGCTAATTATGCGATTTCATTTTTCCCCCCCTCTCAATTCAGCCCGTGTGTGTGTGTGCGCGCGCGCGTGTGCGTGTGTGTGTGCGCGCGCGCTAAAATTGTGCTTTCTAAGTGCAGTCATGTATCAAAAGTAATAAAATAAAAAGGACGGTTGAACAAGTTTTCTGAATCTTCCAGAATGTGTTTGGGACTTTCCTTTGTTCATTCTATGAGCTGTTCCCTTTGAAATTAAAGCTGTTTTGTAGGTTTTATAGGACATAATTTGATGAGTAGGTTCACTTCTTCTGAAAGGGAGCTAAATTCTTCTTCTCAGAAAGAGACTGCATGAAGTGAAGGCTTTTGAAACTTCACTAAAAGTTCCAGGAAGGTGGAGATGCATCAGGGACCGTTTGGCTGGGGGCGAGGAAGTTTGGAGAGGGCACTTTTTTTTCTTGTCGCATTTAGGTTTTGTGCGAGTGATCTGGTAGTCCCTGGGTCATACGCCTGATTAAAATGCAGGGACGGGTACCTCGGCGACCTGAGCCGAATCACTGTCACTGTCTTTTGTGTGTGTGTGTGTGCGCGCGGGGGCTAGAGGACTAGAGCGCTGGAAAAGTTGTTCCTGAGCGGGCTCTCACGAGAAGTGTCTCTCTCCGCAGGTTATGAAGACAGTATGGAGTTTCCAGACCACAGTAGGCATTTGCTGCAGTGTCTGAGCGAGCAGAGGCATCAAGGCTTCCTTTGTGACTGCACTGTTCTGGTGGGAGATGCCCAGTTCCGCGCGCACCGAGCTGTACTGGCTTCGTGCAGCATGTATTTCCACCTCTTTTACAAGGACCAGCTGGACAAAAGAGACATTGTTCATCTGAACAGCGACATTGTTACAGCCCCAGCTTTCGCTCTCCTGCTTGAATTCATGTATGAAGGGAAACTCCAGTTCAAAGACTTGCCCATTGAGGACGTGCTAGCAGCTGCCAGTTATCTCCACATGTATGACATTGTCAAAGTCTGCAAAAAGAAGCTGAAAGAGAAAGCCACCACGGAGGCAGACAGCACCAAGAAGGAGGAAGACGCCTCGAGCTGCTCGGACAAAGTCGAGAGCCTCTCCGACGGCAGCAGCCGCATGGCAGGCGATCTGCCCAGTGACGAAGACGAGGGCGAAGACGAGAAGCTGAACCTCCTGCCCAGCAAAAGGGACCTGGCGGCCGAGCCTGGGAACATGTGGATGCGCCTGCCCTCCGACTCCGCGGGCCTCCCCCCGGCTGGCGGGGAGGCTGAGCCACACGCCACAGCAGCTGGAAAAACAGTAGCCAGCCCCTGCAGCTCGACAGAGTCTTTGTCCCAGAGGTCTGTCACCTCCGTGAGGGATTCGGCAGATGTTGACTGTGTGCTGGACCTGTCTGTCAAGTCCAGCCTTTCGGGAGTTGAAAATCTGAACAGCTCTTATTTCTCTTCACAGGACGTGCTGAGAAGCAACCTGGTGCAGGTGAAGGTGGAGAAAGAGGCTTCCTGTGAGGAGAGCGATGTTGGCACTAATGACTATGACATGGAACATAGCGCTGTGAAAGAGAGTGTGAGCACTAACGCCAGGGTACAGTATGAGCCGGCGCACCTGGCTCCGCTGAGGGAGGACTCGGTGTTGAGGGAGCTCGAGCGCGAGGACAAAGCCAGCGACGACGAAATGATGACCCCGGACGCCGAGCGCGGCCCGGTGGAGGGCGGCATGGAGAGCAGCCTGCTGCCCTACGTGTCCAACATCCTGAGCCCGGCCGGCCAGATCTTCATGTGCCCGCTGTGCAACAAGGTCTTCCCCAGCCCGCACATCCTGCAGATCCACCTGAGCACGCACTTCCGCGAGCAGGACGGGCTGCGCAGCAAGCCGGCTGCCGACGTCAACGTGCCCACCTGCTCGCTGTGCGGCAAGACTTTCTCGTGCATGTACACGCTCAAGCGTCACGAGAGGACCCACTCGGGCGAGAAGCCCTACACGTGCACGCAGTGCGGCAAGAGCTTCCAGTACTCGCACAACCTGAGCCGCCACGCCGTGGTGCACACCCGCGAGAAGCCGCACGCCTGCAAGTGGTGTGAGCGCAGGTTCACGCAGTCGGGGGACCTGTACAGACACATCCGCAAGTTCCACTGTGAGTTGGTGAACTCCTTGTCTGTCAAAAGCGAAGCCCTGAGCTTGCCCACTGTCAGAGACTGGACCTTAGAAGATAGCTCGCAAGAACTCTGGAAATAATTTTATAGATATATATATATATATATATATATATATAATATATATATATACATAGATATACATAGATCTCTATCTAGTTGTGGTACGGTCTAAAAGCAGCCTTGTTTCCTGGAACTAAATCGTCGGGGTGTTAACTCGGTTTTGCACTTTAGAGTAGCATGAGACTCTCACTAATTTAGCATTCTGGTAAAAGAGACTTTGGAGCAAGTCGGAGACTAGAGAGGGCTTTTTCTTTCGAGGGGGTAGGGGAAGTAAGCCAATAAGAACCTTTGAAACAACTCGTCCTATCACAAGATGCTTTCACAGGGCTTAATTCTGTCGACACTGCATTGTCTTCTGAGCGCGCTCTCTCCTCTCTCTCTCTCTCTCTCTCTCTCTCTCTCTCTCTCTCTCTCTCTCTCTCTGTCCCCCTCTCCCCCTCTCTCTCTCTCCCACTTTGTTTTGGTTTTGTGTTTCTGTTTTGGTTTTTGTTTTGTTTTGTTTTGTTTGTTTTTGTTTCTTTTCCTTTTTCAGAGTAGAAATTCCCTCCAGTTTTATTAGCCTCTTTATATGTCACAAAATTGCATGAATCTTTTCTGGCTGTTGGAAACCTGAATGCTTTTAGACCCAAATGGAAAATTTCTGAAATGCTGGATTATCTATTTTTAAACAAGCAGTTGACTTAAAACTTTCTGTGGCAACTTCTGGTTTTCTGACGGTTCCCAATGAGAGAAATTCTGAAAGTACACTGGGATCACTGGGACGCTGTCTTTGTGAAGGTTTGCTTGGGATGAAAAAGGATATTGCAGCTTCAGCAGTGTTGAACTGTGTGTTGAAAAATGTGAATTACTGTTCTTGTATACTGTAACTGATTACACGGGCTGGGGGGGTGTCAAAGAACTTGACAGGTTGTGTTGATGCTCTTAGTTGAGTCTTGAAAAGTAAATATTAACGCTACAGAAATGCATGAGTTTCAATATATTTTTTGTCTTTGTTTGCATTGTATAACTTTAACGAGTGAGTTTAAAATTATTTAATTTCCTTAGAAAAAAAATAGCACCGTTTGGGGAAAAAACTGGTGTTATGAAGAACGTAAATGCACTGTTTTTATTTTTATTTTATATAATTTAAATTGACTTTCCCACTGTCTTTAAGTTGAAACTGTTAAGCTGAATAAAAACTTAAGCTGCAAATTGATAACTTCGCTACATAACAAGGAAAATATAAATGTTTACAAACGGCTTAAAGATTTGCATGTGCAGTGTGCATTTATAACAAACTTCTAATTGCACAAAACCCATGCCGGCTCAAAAGTTTAGGTGTACACATTTGCCCAGTTGAGCATTTTTAGAATAACTACTGCACAAATTGACAATAGGTCATTCTCTCTCTTCTTTCTTTCTTTCTTTCTTTCTTTTTTTTGGGGGGGCTCCCCTTCTCTTTTTCATCCCTTCTCCCTTACCCTCCCCTCCCTGTCTCCCTTCCCCCCCTTCCTTCATCCTTCCCCCACTCCCCCCACCCCCAACTCATGAAAAGATTCTATGGACTGAAAAAGCCCCGGGCTGAAAGGACTGGACTGCCTTGATTGACGTGGGGAAGGTGGGGAAGGGGGTTAGTAGACTATGTGTATGGGGCAGCGGAGGCTGCAGCCCAGTGTGGTTTTAATGACCAGCACGCAGGGCAAAAGCATTTTGCACAGTGTTTGTTTTCCTGTCTTGCACTTACAAATAAGGTCTATGGGAGTAGCATGGAAAACGTTTGCTGTTTTTCCCTTTTTTTTTTAATTGCTTTTGTTTAAAATTTGATCGCCTTAACTACTGTAAACATAGCCTATTTTTGTGCTTAAGATACTGAATGGAAAACTCCATTGTGTGTTGCTGGACTGTTTTGGAAATATTTGGTCAAATGTGTGTTAATTTGGCTGTAATGGCATTTAAAGCAAACAAACAAACAAAAAAAAAAAGCTGTGAAAATGGCCTTGGAGCATTATCTTTAGTTACTTGAAGAGTTTCTAGTTTTTTTAAATACAGTTTATGTTAAAATAATTTTTATTAATTTAGAGGAGACAATCAATGTCTGAGAAAACGGACTTTCTTTTGGATTTTCTTTTTGTGGTCATTGTGAGTGATTGCTTTTTCCTTTTATTAGTTTCACATTCTTCCTTTGTTCTAAAACTTAGACTGACATCTAGCTTTGACAATCATAGTATGTTTTATTTTCCTGAGGGGGGAATAACTTATAATGCTGTTTAGTTTTGTACTATTGGTGTGTTGGTGAATTTTTAAACTGTGTGCTAACTGCAATAAATTATATGAACTGAGAACCTTGTGTGCGTTATTTTAATTATGATTACATACTACGTAGATCCTAAGTATGTATTGTACGTGGCGTCTTTATTTTTAATATCAGTTCTGTCCGGAGCTTGTGAGATTATTAGGATGCCTCAACTCACTCAAATGGAAATGTGCAAACATTTTGGCTTTCAGTCCTTTGAGGTACTAATGCACGTTTCTAAAATGTGACCCATTTTCTACAACCTAGATCAAGAATGTTAAGGTAATTCCCTAGCAATCCGTGAATCTACAGAACTTCCAAGTGGCAGCCTGGGTTCTTCCGAATAATGCTGTATGACTAGCTACTCATCCATACACCCCAAGCCATTTTCATGGGTAATTTTATCCTAAGTTGATGGGTCAGATCTGTTCTTCTGTGTTCTGGTGTAAGTGGAAGATTGAAGGAGACCGGATGTCTTAATTTGGAAGATTGCTTGGCTAATGACTAGAATTCTAGGCAATCAAATTAGCAGGCATTCGATTGTTCAAGATTGGCTATATGCATCCTTTTTTTGCTGGGCGAGCTCAGAAGTTCCCAACTTTTAATTCTCAAAGTTTGATTCGTAATCACGAGGACTCTGAACCCTAATTTTTGCAATCCAACTTCACGATGGTCTCCTTGGGTGTGTCAGGATGAGAAAACACTGCTGGTTGATGGAAGGAATTCACAGGAAGAACACATACGCGCTGGACAGGACAGCCTGCAGGGTCCAGGGAGGGCACAGACCTGAGAGAGTGTCTGTAGATCCTCAGATCCATATTTGCTCATAACTTACACCCTTAAAAAAGATACATACGAAGATAGAGTTTTACATTACTACCATCAAATAAAACACGTTTATATATTACATGGCCTAGGGGGATGTGAATATTCTTAACTTCTATAGAAGAAGTGGAATGTAAGGTCCAGAGCTTGAAAATATACTCATGAGCTCCCGGGTGGCTTTGGATGGGAATCCAAAAAGATTTTTTTTTTCTTTAATCATAGAGCACAATCAATAATTTGCTATTTGGAATCCCTGCATTTCCTTTTTTTTTCTTTTTGTTGTTGTTGAAGCAGGATTTCTATCACATGCAACTCACACTTGGTTTTAACCAACCAAACATTGTTTCATGTGAAAGGGGAATGTATAATGAGCTCCACAAAATTATTTCTTCAGCAGTTACAAGCTTATTTTTAAAAAAGTGCTGGAGGTGGGGCAGGGGTTGAGCAGTGTGCATCTTGTGTTCTCATTTCCTGTAGTAACTGGTCATAGTACCTCAAAACTTTCTGAAGATGTTGAGAGTTATAATTTAGTTTCACTGACTAGCATCTAGTTTAAAATGAGGAGCATTATCCTAAACTTAGCTGGATATACTTACAAGGACAATATTTTGACATGTGATTTGGAAGAAATAACTTCTTAAAACACTCCTTGCAAAACTAGAACAGAATATTAAGTCCATAAATTGCCACGTTTGTTAAGAGAAGTGAAGGAAGCACTTGTTCATTTGCTACATTTCAAAAAAAAATTAATTTGTCATGTAATCATGTTGGAAACCATTCAAATTGATTCCCCCTTTGACATCTGGCTGATGTCTAAAGTGTATTTTAACTATGTGATTTCATTTACTTCTGAAACCATCTGTTTTTTTAGATAATCAGTTATGCCCTAGATCATTGTGGGCCCAGCACTGTGTGCTAGTCATTCCCTGGGGCATAAGCAAGAAGTATATAAAATGGTTAAGGATCTTGGTTTTGGATTTCCTTTCCAGTTAACTATGCTATCAGATTAATAGGTGAATCAAGCAGAGATTTTTCTTTAACAGACTTGCCATGATTACCTATAAATGGGTTATTGGAAGCCTAGAAAAAGGTGAGCACTGTATTAAAAGTACACGCTAGTGCACACTACAATGGCCGAAATACTAATTTTCCAAGTAAATCTCTTGTTTTTCACTCTTCACCAAAGAAAAACAGTTGAGTTTTTTACCCAAGAAGTAACGCTGCTTAAAAAACCTTGACTCTCACAAGTTTCATCAATAAAACACAAGTATACAAAAATTAGACTTTACAAGCCTCATTGTGTCAGGTAAGGATTCAAACAAACAAAAAATAGTCCTAAGATCTCAAGATTTCCTGTATTGCATTTTAGTCCTGTAAAACTTCAAACATTCTTGGATTTCTAATATAATCAGGGAAACTTTTATATACCTCTGGTTAGGAAACTCAGATAATTTTAGTTGTAATTTATAGATACTGGTCTAAGTTTTTGTTTAATTCTTTGGTACAATGTTTGAAATTGCTGATAAAGTACAGTGAATCAAGTAAGTGAATTTTGAAATCCAAGACAGGAGAGCTCAGTCGTTTTCACTACACTCATTTGCCATTAAAATGTTAGAGATTATACCATTTGAGAAATAAAGCAATAGTTTTATTATTGTCTTTTTAAAGCAAATAGCTTTTAGGAGTTTCATTTTGGCTATGGTCCAAGTTTATTACACTGACGAGATTTTGTCCCTTATGTTAACATTTTTCTACCTTTTGCCTGTAGAAACATGGCAAAATATCTTTGCATGTGATCCTTTGGTCTACAGTGTAGAACTACCTATCTGTTAAATGAGAAAGAAACATGTTTGCAGCCTCCCCACTCCTTCTTAGATTTTCTTAATATCGTGAAGGTTTAGCTAAAGCAGTCAGAGCTTATTGATGTCCCTGGAGGTTTTTAGAAATAGTAATTTACTTTCAGAGACATTTTAGAAATTAGACTTCTAGTATTTTTGCAAGCTGACCCTTTTAAAACTTATTACTAATTTTTGTAATTTCTCCAAAACGAAGCTGAACTCTTTAAGTTTAAAACATTGTAACGAGACAGGGTGAGGTCAGAGAAATGAAACAGTAGCTCGAAAAGTTTCTCTTTTAAGCCCAAATGCCTTATTACATGAAATTGTTCAATTAGTTATCTAGATAACTCAGGCTCCCAGAGTAGCTTTTTCCTAAAATATTGAAGCACTTGAAAGAAACGGGATTTTTTTTTGGAAAGAGATGAATTTACCAGTTAACTTTTCTGATTCTATTGTAACATTTGCTAGTTTAGCGTTGATCATAATCGCTAGGTTTAT